CACACACACACACACACACACACACACAGTGAGGTGGATCTATGGGAGCTTCCTAATCCAGCAAAGAGTGTTTATCAGAGCAGGTCCTGCTGCTGGCAGATGTTAAAGATGGAAAACATGGCGGGAGGAAGTGGAAACGTCATGCACCAACGTCACACACACGGCCAGGTGTGTGTGTGTGTGTGTGTGTGTGTGTGTGTGTGTGTGTGTGTGTCTGTGGTCACTACAAAATAAGAGCATGTCGTTGTAGATGAGGCATCTTTTCAAAGAGGCTGAGAATGATCTCAGTGATTATCTTGTGGTTCTGGAGCCGTCCGGTGCTGAGATGTCCAGCAGACCTCAAAGTAACCGTCAACGTCTTGTCCTGCCCCCCGCGGTGTGTTTAGTGTCCTCGGGAGGTTTCTGTGTGTGTGTGTGTGTGTGTGAGCAGCAGAAACAAGGAAATGTCCTCACATGAATATTGAATCAGCAGAGAGCTGCTCCGGTGTTTCACATCATATCAAAGCTCTGTGTGTTCTGTGTGTGTGTGTGTTGTATATGAAGACTCACAGAAGGTGATGGAGGTGATTTCAAACACATTTTATACATTTTCCCTCCGTGTTTCTGTGTTTGTGCATCAAACATCTGGGCTCAGAGTCTTTCAGGTCACTGCAACCAACTCACTCTGCAAAACAACTTCTTTATGAGGGACGGTCATGAATATTCTACCAGAGATTATTGTATGATGTGTAGTTTAGTTACTCCATGAAAAAGAAACTATCATAACGCTGCTGAATGTAGATTTAGTCGCTGTTGTTTTATCAGTAATATTACCTGAAATAAAGACGTCTGATTGGACCACAGACTGAATATAAGAAGTGGACGTTGTGATGTCACTCGTTGGTTTGTGGATGTTTTGAAGCCTGGTGATCTATATTCATGTTGTTGTTTTTTAGCAACCAGTGAACAGGAAGTGACCATATCTGGACTGAGGGGGAGTGACGTAGAGACGCCGTATACATCTCTGGTAGAGACCTGTCAATCACTGTGTAGCCCCGCCCTAAAGCATCCCCTGCTTTACTTACTAGAGAGAATGCAGCTTTAACACATGAAGCTTTGGTTTATTTATGGTCATACTGTCTGGGTTGGACTGGATCTTGTGACTCTTTTCTCACGTTCTAGTCGATAACGTTGAGTCCAGCAGCAGGAAGTGGGACCAGTCGGTGAGTGTTGGGTAGCCGATGGTTGAACTGGTGTTTGTAAACGGTTTCTTCTACTTCTGTCGACTGGACGTCAGGCTGACTTCCTGTTTCTGTCCGATAATCAGCCCGAGACATGAGACTGGAGTTGTAGTTCTTCTGGGTACGGAAACCATACTATGAGGCCTTTTTCTGTTTTATTCAGTTATGAATTAAATATATTCTGGTCACTTCATTCTGTAGAAAACAGTGATTTTCATCTATTTTTAATGACTAAACAGTGAGTATGGAACACTATGAAAATATCGTTTAATCCTGGCCAAAATCCTTCATGATATTATCCTGATTATCATCAAAATAGACTTCAAATGACACTTAAACAAAGACATATTTCTATAGAATCACAGATACGCAGTTTCTTTAGTGGACACCCTTCATAGAAACATACAGATCATTCATTATTAATGTAAACAATAACATCTGATGAATGCAGTGTATTTGGGGCAGACAGCCAATCAGAGAAGAGATCTAACTGGCGAATGTTTTAAAACCCTAAATGTATTTTAACTTTTAAAATCCAAAGCCAGTAAAGAGCTACTTTGCATATTCATTTAATAAACATCAACTCTCTGCTGTCATGATTTTCTATGTTGCAGTGATCTCACATTGTTACAGGTAGAAAACATGATGTTCGCCAAAACCAGAATAAATAAAATGTTATGACCAACAAAAAGCAACAAGTGATCT